GTACGTTATGGCTATACGTGACGTTCTATTTTTTTTTTTGTAATTTCGCGCAAAGCTACACGAGGGCTATCTGCGCTAGCCGTCCCTAATTTAGCAGTGTAAGACTAGAGGGAAGGCAGCTAGTCATCACCACCCACCGCCAACTCTTGGGCTACTCTTTTACCAACGAATAGTGGGATTGACCGTCACATTATAACGCCCCCACGGCTGAAAGAGCGAGCATGTTTGATGGGACGGGGATTCGAACCCGCGACCCTCAGATTGCGAGTCGAGCGCCCTAACCACCTGACCATGCCGGGCCTAGGAAACGCAATTTTTTATTCAATGCAAAACATTAAATTTAAAAGCCAGGCTATTGACGTCATTTATTATATCTTGAAATACAGACAATATTTACAATTATCAAATCGAATGCTTTATGGTCAGTTTAATAAACAAATGTTTGTTGTGTTGTCGTTTCTATCTGAGAGTTTCATGAAAATAAACTTTTCTCGTACACGTGTTAGGTATTTTTAAACGCCACGCATTCAAAACATCCACCACCCGGATAATAGAACATAAAAAACTCGTTTTCTTAAAACGATTTACTGAATTGATAAAACTATTGAATACCGCAGGTCTATACAAATCATAGAGCTTTATATCTTAGATATATCTTATATCTTTATATCTTTCTATTGACGATAAATTCTATATACTATTTGTATGAAAATATGCACTTGGAAGACAAAATACCCTCTTAGACCAAAGACAAATAGTTGTTTGTACGAGACTATAAACACACATAAAATGTAGTTCGATAGAGTAAACACAATCTGGCAGTTGTTCATAACATTAACCTGACAATCTCGAGAAATGAACAGCTATTATAATGCCGTGTTTCGTTTTTGTATTGTTTGTTATGATATATTATATTATCATGTTTGTCAACATTTTATACATTATTTAAGATTTTCAAGCCGAACGGCACCTTATGCGACATCTGGGGCTAAATGGCTAGGGCAAAAATCTCAAGGCTCTGGCACAGCTGTCCCTAATTCAGAACTGATAAAAAAAAAGAGGGCAACTAGTCAGCATCACTTGCTGCCTACATGGCAACTCTTCACCGAATAGGCCAGGTGGTTTGACTCGCGGCTTCGAATCCACATCCCACCAAACATGCTCGCCCTTTAAGCCGTGAGAGCGTTATAATGTGACTATTAATCCCACTATTCGTTGGTAAAAAAGTAACCCCAAGAATTGGCGGTGGGTAGTAATAAGTAACAGCCTTCGCACTAGTATTCCACTGCTAAATTAGGGACGGCTAGCGCAGATAGCCCTCGTGTAGCTTTGCGCGAAATTCAAACAAAACTTTACCGAATATCGTGATTGACTACAGTATTAATTTTATAACGCGCCCATAGCGTGTGTACTGACCAATAGTGTGTGTGTGTGCACTGACATATTGCAACTCCAACCCTTGACCTTCCAATCCTCAACTCGGTAGAGTAGTTTTCCCATCAAATTAATTACGTACGAATGAAATAAAAATAACATGTAAACATATTTGTCAGAAATTAATTTGCGTCAACATAATTGTCAACTTTATAAATGAATTATTATTACTGATGATAGAATCAGTGTATAGGAAGAATGAGAAAATTATACGCTATTAATTTCTAAAATGTTGACAATACTGGAAGTCCATAAAATTTTCATGTTTTGGGAACTCACATAATCTCTGAATGAACAAAGACTGATTTATGTGGTTAAATGTAACTAATATAATCTCTGAATGAACAACGACTCATTTATGTGGTTAAATGTAACTCACATAATCTCTGAATGAACAACGACTGATTTATGTGGTTAAATGCAACTAACATAATCTCTGAATGAACAACGACTGATTTATATGGTTAAATGTAACTAATATAATCTCTGAATGAACAACGACTGATTTATATTGTTAAATGTAACTCACATAATTTCTGAATGAACAACGACTGATTTATATGGTTAAATGTATAAGATGCTTTTATGTAGTCTTTAAAAAAAGTAAGACAACGGACAAGTAGCTATAACTTTTATATCTTATTTTTAAGATATCCTGTGTAATGATATCCTGAGATATTCTGTTGATACAGCACTTTAGTCTCCACTGTAAACAGGTTCGAACACGTTGTATGTTTGTTGTTTATACTCCCTGGCCACAATTTTTGAAGAAGAATACTGAATACTGCTATCGCAATCCAACCACAACAATCAAATTTAAATTTCAAATCTATATAGGTGTATTAGAAGGTGTGCATATAACTACGTGATTCACCACATAATTCTATCTGTGGCCGCTTAGAGGTTATGGACAGTTCCTGAAAGATTTATGGAGACCCTCTACTTAAAGCAATTGGAAATCATTTGGAACTCACAGAAACAGAAATGATGTGTGTGAAATGGAATTATTTTTCTTCAACAACAACAAATAAGTTAAGAGTAAAATCATAAGTAAATCTGACCGTTTAATACAAAAACGTTATAAAATACAAATAAGTATGTTACGAGAAAACTTAGTAAAAACTATAATTAGTAAAATTATATAAAAGGGTTTCTTTAAAAAATAACTACACAAAGCATTATCAGATAGAGTCTCCATTGTTAGTATAACTATGTCTACATGAGAGTAACAACTATAAAAGATTTGGGATGATAGAGAATATACCTCCTGCACTGTATTTGAAAAAATCGGATTGTAACTGACAAATTTGCTGCAGCGACTTGCATAAGTTTTTGCTTTTAAAATTGGGATTCGCGTTTCTTCGCGCTTTGTGTTCAGCTCAGGTGACACTCTTATAAATCCAATTCAGTGGTTGAATGACTCGGTAGATATAAGTCATGAGTAAAGTCCACAAGGAAAAATAATTATCTTACTTATTAAAACTGATATCAGATACTTGATAATCAGGTAGGACCAAAATAAATAATCGTAAAACAAAAATACTGGTACGTTAATCACACTTGGAAGATATACTTTCCTTCATTCGAGATGAAATAGATAAATAGACGGATTTCATTATCTTAAGATTTACACCCGTAATTAGCGTAAGTGAGAACTGTTCTCATATATCGCTGAATTATTTGATGCTACTTTTTAGTCGCTTCGTTTGGAAAATCTAGATGATACGTTTAGGCATCTGGTCGGGAATAATAAATCACAACTAATACTAATACCCAAATTTAAGTTACCCCAATTATCAGCAAACGAAGTTTTTGTGACGTGGTTGTTAAGAAGATGCTTTAAAAAAAAATATGTAAGATACAGGAGTGGCTTGTTTTAGTGTGCCTTATTGTAAATCCAGAGTATCATGGTTCTCGTCCCGTGACCGCAAAATCGCTTTTTGGAGTCGTGGGTGCGTTATAAAAGAGACAGTCAAATCCTACTATTAAATTATAGTAAGTCAAGAGTTGGTGGTGGACATTGTTCAATAACCGATTTTCATCTGATATATCTGGTCAAAATTAGGGAAAGTTAGCTTAGGTAGTACATGTGTAGCGTTGCACGAATGTTTTAAACAAACATACACGTCAAAATGAAATTTAATGTAGAAGAAGCACTTTGTCTTATATTCACTTAGTATTTCTCTTTGTTATTGCTTTCAAATTCTAGGGTTCAATCTAAAACAATTCATATTTCTGATTTGACTACTGTTCCGTTTTCCCTAAATCTCTAACTTTGTGGTTAATTTGTTTCTCGTGATTTCCGGTATATTAAAAGCCCCTTCAG